GCCCAACCGCATGGAGATCGTTCTTTTATCCATGGGGGCAACGCGTGTTACCCGGGGTGGGGGTCGGAGGGGGCGGGACGGTAACGGCGGCCGGGATGTACCCCCGAAGGCAGGCGCGCCCGCAACACTGGCGCAACAAGCACCGGTGCGCAGCTCAACAGGTGCGTTTACGACAACGCCTGCGTGCACCACAACGCCTGTGCACACCAAAGTACCTCGTTTCCGTGCGCGGGGCTGCAAGGTCCTCGTCTCACTCCTCGCTCGAGATCCAGTGCCCAAACCCCTCCTAGACACCCTCCCCTCCAGCCCGGTATACTCGCTCGAGCCGCGCCCCGGCCGCGGACACGAGGACCCCCCACCCCAAGAAGCCAGAAGAGGCCACGAGGATCCCCCTCCCGAAGCCGGAGGAGGAGGAGGAGGAGAAGGACGAGGAGGAGGAGGAGGACGAGGAGGAGGGGGAAGGGGGAGCAGGAGGAGGAGGTGAGCATGAGCAGTGAGGAGGAGAAAGAGGAGGAGGAAGAGGACGAGGACGAGGAGGAGGAGGGGGGGAGGATGAGGAGGAGGAGCCGGAGGAGGAGCCGGAGGAATGGCGGGGGGCGGGGGGGCGGGCGCCTCGCATACGCCACGCCCTTGTGGTCCTTCGCCGGGGTGCGCGGCTCCATCCGCGCAACACAACACCCCCTGCGCTGACAGAGGAGATGTCGACCCCTGTTCCAGGCTTCGTGAGGTTCTCCAGTGGGCCAAAAACATGTTGTTGAGCCTTGAGGACTTCTGCTGCCCCATCGACCCGTTTCGATTCGATTCGGCGCTGCGTGAGGGCGCCCTCTGCCAAGGGCGCCCCTAGCTGCGCTGCTCTCTTAAGCAGGGGGGGGGTCCGGGAGCGACCCCCCCAAAAAACAGTCATAGCAGCCCGCCTGGACCCGCAGGCCTGAGCTGGATCGAATTGCAAAATCGGATCGGATCAGAAACAGGTCGGATCGCCAGCGAATCGTCCCGAATCGGCTTGCAATCGGATCGCCCCGCCCAGCTCAAGCTGGCCCCGGCCGATGCCGAGCAGCCTGATCGGACGGAACCGAACTGGAATCGTGGCCCCAGCCAGCGAATCGAATCACATCGCATCGGATCGTAGGCGGCCGTGACCCACCCCGTGGCCCAGCGCAAGAGTAGAGAAGCGCGTCCCACTACTCGCAAAGTGACTACTCGCAAGTGGCCTGGATTCGCCGCGGGGGATTTCTGATACCTTACATTAAGGCACCCATGTGTTTGTCTGGCGTT